CCTTAGGCCATGGTGTCATTAGGCATACCCCAACCTCAACTGGCTTGATGCATTTGACTCTTGTTACTGAAGATTTTTATTTTTGTCTCATTACAGTGAAAGGTCAAAATAATCAGTGGCCTTTCAAAAAATTCCTTTCATCCTACTAATAGGTAACACTAGTGTCTATTGCATGTACTTAAAATTCCGGGGCAGCCCAAGTACAGGTGTGCGCATACATCTAAGTTTCAATTATACACAAATAACAAACTTCAGCTTTTCTTGTGTTGGTCTTGATGTTAACAAGTCTTCAGTGTCAGTAGACTGACAAGAGAAGATGAGGGTGTTAGAGTTTATCTGTGTTGATGTAAGGGTGTGCGCTGTGTTCTCGACAGTGGGGGCTGCTGGGTGTCTGGCCTTCGGTGAGTACATTAACTTCTCAAGTATCAAAAGTCCCTCTCCCTTTTAAAAAAAATATTCTGAATACATTTCCCCTCAAACAAACTCTCCCAGACTCTCCTGCCTCCCCAACCACACAAGTCCACACATGTTTTGATTTCATTAAAAACAAACAGGCATCTAAAAGAAGGAGGGAGAGAGGAGGGAGGAAGAAAGAAAGAAAGACAGTAAAAAAAAAAAGTTGAATAGGACAAAACAAATGAACAGAAAAATAAGAGCCAAAGTAAACACACACACACAAACACATATAGGCACAGACACACACACTCACACACACACCCACAGAGAAACTGGAAACAACTTAGATGTTCCTCAACAGATTAATGGATAAAGAGAATGTAGTACATTTACACAATGGAGTATTACTCAACTGTTTAAAAAAAAAAATCATAACATTTCAAGGTAAATGGTTGGAACTAGAAAAAATTATCCGGAGGGAGGTAACCCAGATCCTAAAAGACAAATGTGGTATATATTTGTTTATATGTGGATGATAGTTTTTAACTCTTCAATAAGCAGGCTACAGACCATAGAACTACAGAGGTTAAGGAAAGGAGAAAAGGATTTCCATAGGAAGGGAAAACTAAATAGAAAGTTATGTATAAATGTTTGGAAGGACTGAAATAAAAGTATTAAACTGGGAAGGGAAGTAATGGAGGGGATGGAGGGAGAGACAGCTAAAGCTAAGGATCACCTGAGGGGTCATGTAAAACCTACTGCAGTAGAAGTGTCCTAAAACATAAACATAAATGAAGTAAATCTAAACAGAATCACCAAACTGCAGGGGAGGCAAAGCTCAATTAGATACCTCTTACCACCACATGAGACCTCCAGTGTCAGGAATGGGTTATAGCTGAGTGAGCTGTTGGCCAAAGGGGTCCTGTGGAAACTTCAGACAACCCAGGAAAGACAAATACAACTGCTTTGTTAAAGAAATATAGCAGTAAAATAAGTTCTAATGACCTTTACCTATACTCATAAGTCCATGTCTTCCTCAGCCTTCAGCAGAGAAGCTTCCTCCTACAGAACCTAGGAACAAATACAGAGACCCACAACTCAGCATGGCTCAGTGAGTGTCTCTGTAGTAGGATGAAAGATCCTTTGGGTATATTCCAAAGGGAGGTATAGCTGGATCTTGAGGCAGATAAATTTCCATCAACCTAAGGAACCACTACATGATTACCACAGTGGCTGTAGAAGTTTGCAGGCACAGCAGCAATGGCTGAGTGTTCCCCTTCCTCTACTTCCTGGCCAGCATATGCTGTCACTTGTGTTATTGATCTTGGCCATTGTTAGGGACATGATAACAGATCTCAGTGTAGTTTTGATTTGTATTTCCCTGGTGACTAAGGATATTGAAGATTTCTTTGTTTCTCTCAGTCTTTTGGTTTCCTCTTCTGAGAATTCTCTTTTAAGATATGTAACCCACTTTTTAGATTGGATTACTTTCTTGATATCTACATTTTTTAATTCTTTATACATGGTAGATATTAACCCTTTGTTGGATGTGAAGTTGGTAAAAATATTTTTCTGCTTTATAGGCTGCTACTTTATATAAATGATGATGTCCTTTGCCATACAAGAAACTTTCCAGTTTCATAAGGACCAATTTATTAATTGTGATCTTAGTGCCTGTGCTAATGGTGTTCTGTTCAAAAATTCTTCTCCTATGCCAGCGAGTTCAGAGCTACCGTCCGCTTTCTCTCCTATCAGGTTCAGTGTATCTGCTTTATGTTGAGGTCTTTGATGCATTTTGAGCTGATGTTTGTGCAGTGTGGCTCTGTTTGTATTTTTCCACATCCAGCCACACAGTTTGAACTGCACATTTGTTGAACATGTATCAATTTTCTGTCTTTATTTATTTATTTTTAATTTCAATTTATTTACATCTCAAGGATGCTCCCTCCCTCCTCCTCTCCCAGTCACTCTCCCTGTCCCTCCCATTCCTCCTTCCCTTTCTTCCCCAGGAAAGGGAAGCCCCCCATATCAAACCTTCCCAGCACATCAAGTCACATCAGGACTGAGCATGCCCTCAGGCCAGGCCAGGCAGCCCTGCCAGAAGGAAGTTACCCAAAAGCAGGCAATAGAGTCCATGTCTAAAACAGTACCCCCTCCACTTGACAGGCAATCTCTATGAAGACCAAGCCACCCATTGTCTACATATGTGCAGGACATCTAGGTTCAGATCACGCATGCTCCTTAGTTGATGTCTCAGTCTCTGAAAGCTCCCATTAGACTGAGTTAGTTGTCTCTGTTGGTCTTCTTGTGAGGTTCTTTTCCCCACCAGGACCTTCTATCTTTCCCCCAACACTTCCACAGGACCCCCGGAGCTCTACTCTATGCTTGGCTGAAAGTCCCAGCACCTGTATCAATCCTCGTCTGGCTGGAACCTCCAAGAGGACAGCCAAGTTAGACTCTTGTCTGCAAGCATAGCAGAGCATCATTATTAGTGTCAGGGATTGGCTCTCTACCATTATCCCTGTGCTTCTTGTAGGCAGGGTACTTTTTGGATCACAGCTTTTGTTGGTGGGTTGTTGCTATCCCCTAATTCCACTAGTCCTAAATGGTTAGGAGGTGGTCACTTCAGTCTTCATGTCATCCCTGTTAGTAGTCTCAGCTAGAGTCACATCCATATCCTCCCAGGAGCCTACCCTGATGCAGGCCTCCAGCTTGCAAAGAGATGTCCCCCTTCAGTTTCCCTTCTTGTTCCCAGCCTTCTCACCTCCCACCCCCGTTCTCCCCACATCTGACTCAACTCCTATCTATGACTCCAAAGTCTCTGCTACTTGTTTATTCATAAACCATGAGTGAGGCTCATGGTGAGCATTTAGCATATTTCATTTCTGTTTTCTCCAGAATTTAAAAGTACACATTTATTTTTAATAGCAGGCAAAACACCTAGATAATTAAATGACGATAAATAACAAAGAGTTGGAGATAAGATAATTGTTTATCCTTTTCATTATCTGGGCCCAAGGATTAGAATAGACAACTCAGCAGCAGATTAAGGAGGGTCACAGCCTTTCCCCACTACTTATTCTTTGTCTTTTTCAATTGAACTATCAACTGTGTTTGGTTTATAAACACATTGTCTTAATTTTTTTGTCATCTGTGGAAAATCCTTTATAGCCATAATCCTCAACAAAAATTAAACAGGACCCTAATTCAGCCAGTTTTAGAGCATTGGCAAGAATTGAACACCAACCATAAGAAATAGACATCCAGGCAAGCTCTCTGCCATGTCATGTTGGATCAAAAAGTCTATGCATTGTTACATTTCTGCTTTTGTGTTTTTTTTTTGTTTGTTTGTTTGTTTTGTTTAATTCACTGCAATTACAGAACTATCAGTAGATAGACGTTTTTCATTATCAATGTGGCATTGGATAACGTAGCATTAGCCACCCACTGAATTCATGCCTTATCTTCAATTATGTGAGTTATTCCTGAGTATTTCTACAAAAGACAGATTTCTTTGCCATTTCAGTTTGTTCACAAAGAAAAGTCTTCTCTTTGTCTGTTTTCTCTTATTTTTGAGTCAAAAGAAAATAAAAAGACTGCTTTGGAATTGTGTCCTACTCATAAAGGGACATGGGATTGTTTTGTTTTATCTTAGTACTGCACATTTAGAAATAAACCAAGTATAGACTGCTTAAAAGGGATTTGTTTAAAATATATGGCCTCTTTATTTTCTTCTTAGCTACTGAAACAATATATCTTACATTTACCTTTGACTTATCATCCCCCAAATTCTTGAAAACACTGATTCCTGCAGATTTCAGCTGCTCCAGATTTTCTGGTCAAATCCTTTCCCTCCCAGCTTTCTAATTCAGTCTGATTTCCAGGTCTTAATCAATCTTTCATAACTACATTTCCATATATCTAATCTTGAATTTCTCAAGTCAAGTCCAGGCACAGTTCATGGACTGATCTATTGAAATGTACGGCTGTCCAGGCCTTACTAGACTTATATAACTATGTCCTTGTAGCTCAGAGACTGAAGCAAAACGCTGTTAAAAGAAGACAATATGCAGTCATATACGCACACAGACCTTCCTCCCCAAGATACTTCCCCTGTTTACCTGGTAAAGCAACACAGAAACACAAACCTGTAGACACACTATGCCCATTTTCCCCACATCTTTTTGTTCATATTGTTTCCATAACCATAATGCTGTTATATTGCCATAACTAGAATGTTGTAACCCTTTTCTAGTCATTCTTTCTCAATCTATAAACCTTAGCCTTGGCATTACCTCTTCAAGAAACTACTGTAGATTTGATGGTTCGCCAGCATTCTTTGTGTTTCTATGTCTCTATCATTCCCTCAACAAAAACAAAACCTATCAGTTTTTGTACATCCCTAACCTAGTCAAAGAACACCTGAAGTAGAAGACATAAGTATGAATGTCACTGTTAGTTCACCACTTAGCCCAGTGGAGCCTGACACCTGAGGAGACTAAATGGGTGCACACAGAATATAATCTGCCACAGAATTTCTGTTGGAGGATAACTGCTTTGTTGCCTTTCATTTCATCTGTGAGCGGTTTCTCATTTTGTTTCAGGTCCACTGTGATGCTATTCCAGGATGCAGCAGACAGCACACCCCCATTCCTTGGTTTGCACAAACTGGAATCTGAGAGGTTATCTTCGAACAAACATCCATGGTTGTTATTTGGGTAGGAAATTTTAGTGAATTCTTTCAGATTTGAAGAATTTATAAACTAAATTTGGCTTAAATATGCTCTTTCCAAATTCTTTGGCAAAGACAATGTAATTTTGCTTACAACAAAAGAGAAGTCAGAAACTGTGCTGACTTGGACTTTAGGAGGAAAAAAAATAAAAAGATCTTTCTTCAAACAGAATAAGTAATGAGTAAAAGAATAATAATGGCTTGTTTAAAGAAAAGAGAAAGAACAAAATTCAAGAAACCATTCAAAACTCACAGATTTCACACCAAAGACATAATGGTCTATTCTCATATAAATAGATTCATTACAGTGAAAAGAATAACCTTTTTTCTTTCTGAGTTCAAGTCTCTCTAGCAATGACTGAACTCTTATTCATTAGCTGACTAATGATAAAAGCACACATTTTAGGGGCCAAAGCAGACATTGGCAAATGTAAGGACTGTGTTCAGCATTATGTGCTAAAGGAAATAAAAATCAAAGCAAATTAGTCAAGCAGAGAGAGCTTTCAAAGAATAACATTATCTTTAGAAGTTTTGGGTGTAGCACTTCTTTCTTACATCCATCTATTCAACAAATAATTACCGAGGGTTTCAGATGTGAACATGAATGGCCCTTTGGTGAGGGGGGTGGGCAGAGAAAATGAACAGTAACAGAGCAATGGAACACTTCACAGAATCAAGGGATGGTTCTAATCGCTTTCTGTGCATGGAATCATTAATGGCCTCACAACTCTAGTAGATAGGCACTGTGTTGCAAGCACCATGCTTTGTATGTGGGAACCAAGGCCCATTCTTGGTTAGCTTTGCCCAAGCTTCGGTGTCTAAGCTGTGAGCAAGCTGGGGGGAGAAAGAGATCACTCGTAGACTGCTTTTATGGTGATAGAAACGCCACAGGTCACATTCACATATGTCTTTGTCATCTATCACCCGAGCATGGTTAGGTGTTGGGAAAACATTATCAAATGGACTAGTTGAATGAACTCACCATTCAAGAAGGGTAAGAAAGAGAAAAGCACATGGAAGGCATGGGTAGTTGATGACAGATCTTCTATGGGAAGGCACCATCACTTTTTATTCAATGATTGTGAGTAGACCTTACAGTTGACATCAGTCACCCTCGGTCATGTGGGTATAGAAACAGTCTCCGTATGCTTCATGGTCCTCACCTGTAAGTCTTAAAAATTAATATGAAGATTGATACAAATTAATATACAGAAGTGAATACAACAAAGTACTTTATAACATGGTATAATCATTTGGAAGTGTATTATCATGAAATTTCATTTTTTTTTATTTTTACGAATGCTTTCAGTTAAATTTTGAAATGATCACATCTGATATCATATTCAAACTGAAAGAAAGGTCAGGGCACCTCTTCCTTAGAATAATACAGATAATATACAGCAAAGGAATGCAGAAATGCAAAGGAGGAAGATTTTTTGGAAATTGTCATGAAGAAAAAAAAATGAATGTGAATACAGTAAGCAATCCAGCTAGAATAAAGAGTTTGGAACAAGAAAGTATGAAAATCAAACAAAAAAGATTATTTTGGGAGAGATTAAATAATAAGATTTACATTAGTAGAATTCATTTTAGCAGTTAATCATTTTAATTTTATTACAGTCTATTGATATCCTGAGGGAAAATCAAGCCAAAGAAAACATGCAAGTAAATCTGAAAGTGTGATATTTGTACTTACATAATTATAGGTTCATTATTTTAACCCTTATATTTCCATTTACCATTAGAGTGTTTGTGCATATATATATATATATGTATACATATATATGTACATATACACATATATGTGTATGTGTGTGTGTGTGTGTGTGTGTGTGTGTGTTGCTAGCATTCTACCATAGAGCTATATTCCCAGTTATACTTTTTTTTTCATTACTTCTGTATAATGTAAATTCTCTTGACAACTGACACAGGTCCGCACTTCTGGTTTTATCTATTTGAATTAAATCTATTGAGATTAAGAGTAGATCACAGCCATATTAAAGACTATCAGTTTGGTGGCTTGCTGAAATAAACCAGGCAGTCCATTGAGGCTGGGCCCAGCGAATTGGTGTATGCCTAAGAGCTGACATTGTAACTGGAAGTCCTCAGCATAGCAGCAAAGTAATCAACAGTCACCGAGAATGGATGGCCCTTTAATTCTCAGTAATGGTCCCTGTGGTCAGAGACTTAGGCATAATGGCACAACAGCACAGGGCAGCTGGCATACTGACTTCAGAGGCCTATCATGAATCTTAACACAGTCTAAGAGTGGTTCATTTGGCATCTTTAGCTCCCCTCAACCCTGCTGTTTTAAGTACTTTTTTTTTTTTTTTTACAGGAAAGCTCTATTGTCTTTGTCTGAAGGTGTATGATACAGTGGAGATGCTTCGCCCATACATAATTCATTCTAAGAGCAAAAGCATTCAGGTCCTAAGTTCTCAGCAGATGCATTTGTTCCATGCAGAAAATAAAATATTCTAGCACCCTACCTCCACATGAGGTTTATTTTATCCCTGAATGAGAAAAAAGAAGCACATTAAATGATAATCATGTGCTCAATTTCAGGATGTTAGACTCTCACTGTTGACCTTTGTACAGTAGCCTGTTTATGGAAACAAATCATGGAGAATGAAGGCAGCAGATTAGGTCTCTATAAAGGAAGAAGAAAGCTTTAGACCTAAGCAAGAGGCTATGTTAAAAGAAGCTTGCTGCATAAATATATTTAGCCAGTAAGACAGTGAACTGGAAAACCAAATTAGGTTCTTTAATATAAAAATCTAAAGCTTAGTGGGAAATGCTTAAAGAGAAAATTCACTGAGCTAGGAGAGCGATTTGTTATAGGAGGCAATCCAATTGAACTGGTGGAGTTTGCTCTTTGTTTGAACGAATACAGAATAGAATTAGGAGACCAGATAAACTTCCACAGCTCTCAACTAAGGATACTTGTGAGACAACCAGTCTTTAAGAACAAATTTAAGTTGGAAGAGTATCAATTTTCTACTGTCAACCAAAGTGGAAAGGGGCATGTTGAGACAATGTCTAATTTTAAAAATAAAATATTAAAATGCTGAACTTATCACATGAATTTCCAATACTGAGATTAAAAAAGAATGTGTGTCTATTGCCATCCTCTGCTTCACAATTACTTAACAGATTTATTTTTGCCAAATTCTGATGAAGGAAAAACTTAAATTTAAGGTTGGAAATAAAGAATAATTTGTGTGCATTGCCAATCACAAATCAGTCTTAAATAATTATCATTAGAAGGTTAGCATGGGTCCTGATTCTGGGCACCACTGCAGAGACTAATGAAAAGTTCCTTTTCTGATTTTAGAATTCATTAGTGAGAAATGATATTTGGCAACTAGGGAAAGCCCCCATTTCCATAAGTTCTCAGTAGCACCCACACTTTTCAGTAAACCCAGTAGATATTATTTCAAGGTTTCAGGAAGAGATTTGCAACAGCAATAGGCCAGAGTTAGAGAAAGAGTCGTGAAACAAGGGTTTCAAGTGCAAATGAAGAGACAGATGAGCATCCACAACATAGATGAGGGCAAAGTATAGAAAGGTCCATAACCAAAAGTGCAGGCCACAGTCACAGAGAAAAGCCACAGAGGTGTGGTGAGTGGGTATATGTGCGGAAAGAGCGTGGGGAGTACCTTCTGCAGATTTTGTCCTGATTAGATACTCAGCTACACACTCTCCATTCACAGTCCTCGTTGGTAACCCAGAGGGGTGACTACTTCTCCTAAGTGCAGGTTGGGAGCCTGTGAAGAGGTCTGCTTGTGGTAGGATCCCAACATGACTGTCTGTCATTCATTCAGATTCAGCAGAATGACAATGCAAAAGAATGAGTACAGGAAACAACATTATTTGTTTTGTCTTGAAGTATTTGTCAGTAAGAGGATCAGATACGATTTGTCCTTAGCTAGCAACATTGTAGTTATCCAAAAAATAGCTATTGTTTCTCTGTTTTACCTGTGCATATGTGTTCGGTGTGTGCACAGAACATGTTTGCACTTGAGGATATACTTACATGTTTATGTATTTAGAGGCCACAGTTTGACATCAGGTGTCTTTCTCTATTTACTGGTGCAGGATCTCTCACTGGACCTGGATACCATTTTATTTAGTCTAGTGATTTAGCTGGATCTAGAGTCTCCTGTCTCTGCCTTCTAGGGGTTGGGACTGTAAGGGCTCTGCCTTGTTTGCCCAGCTTTTATGAAGGTCCTGGGGACCTGAAATCTGGTCGTCATGCATTCACAGCAAGTGCAGTACCCACTGAGCCACCTTCCCAATATATTCACACACATTCACTATCCAATTCTGGTCCCAGATAGACAGCAGCCATCCTAACACTCATTTTCAATCCCGTAGTGCCTAACATGACATACAGCACATCACTTTTTGACTTTCATAAACTGATTACAGAGTAAAGAAGTTAATGATAGATGATAAAATTCTAATAACAATTGTTACACAACCGTACACAAAATCATATACACAATTGTTAAAACTCAGGTGTTGGCCAATCAACTACAGTTGGTGTTCAAATGGTTTATGAGTAACAGTACATTTGTATTCTTTGTGCATTAACACCAAGCTGTATCTTTAGATAGCAGAAGTGAAGTCAACTTGGGATGTAGCCTAGAACAAAAGACCCCTACCAAACATAGAACCATATAACAATGAAAGGATGAAAGCATCACAACCTATAAAACAAACAAATGAATAAACAGTTGGAGGAAACAAGACAGACTCCAACTTCCTGTTGGAGGTGTGCTAAAGTTAGCTCTTAGGAGTGACATGAGAGGTAAGAAACTACCTCTCCCAGGTCAAGGTTGTACCACAGCTCTTGGACAACTTGCCAAGCTGACCACATTTATCCTTAGTCCTACAGGGATTCACAGAGGTTTTTTTCCAATACTGAATGCTGATAATAAATTATGCATCTAAAAAGGATCCCCTTATTGTGAGACAACAGTTAAGTTTAGGAAACGAGGAAAGTATGTTGTCTGTAACATTAATGAATAAAAACTCTCTAGAGGGAAAGAGTAGACTATGGCATCAGGTGGATAATATAACATCTATTTCAGTATGGCAACAAGGAGGTTGTGATGTCAGAAAGAATGGATACAGGGGAGACACAGGGATAGCTAATAAATCAAAACCTGAGGGAATGGAGAAGGACTAATGGAGATTAAAGAGAGACTATTCTCTGAGGGTGCTCTTTGTATGTTGATTCGCTTTACTTGAGACAAAGTCTTAAAATGTTGCCCAGGTTGGAGTACTGGTCTCCAGCACATTCAGCTGAAGGCATTTTTCAGAAGGGTTGGAAAGTGGTAACCAGACCCGGAAGGAAATACTTGAGGCTGCTCTTTACTTTTAAATAGAAAATGCTTAAAAATACTTACAAGCAAAGGTAAGAATTTGGTGGAGAGAGTAAGCAGGAAACTGGCTTCCATTTACACACACTGAACATTTCATTCTGGCCCATCAAGAGCTTCACTCTGCAGTCACAGACTGAAACTACCATAATCTGCCCTCACATATCAGGGGGCCTTGGTGTCTAGTTTGTTTTTAAAATCAAACTAGGAGTAATTAATGGCCACTAATTCTCAGACCATTAGAACACAAACTGTAGTTAATTTGCCAACACCTTAGTGGGAAAAGTTTGTCACTCAGTGACTAGATTGATCCATCAACCCAGAATAAGAACAGAAAAGCACTTGCTGTGCACAGCTGTAGAGGGCAAGTGTCTAGCCGACGATGAGAACACCTCCTGCAAGTGTAGAGCTGTAGCTGTGGGGAGGTACCCACTTTGGAGAAATACTTTACGGTTAGGGTGAAGGTCTTAGAATGTAGATTACTGGTAGGTTTGCCATTTCATGTGAAGAGGGCAGTCGGGATTGGCCACTGTGTAGTTTGAGAGGCAGCACGAGCCACTGTGCAATTTTATCGTATTCAAGCATGAAAACAACAGTCAGTCAAATATGACCATGCAAATAATGGCCCTCAGAGTTCAGTTCTGGTCAAACTGGGCACAGGGTCAGTGTTCTGTGAGGTCAGGTTACAGCCCTCCCCAGATTGCAGTTTGCCTGCAGGCTTTACTATTTGAGATTTCGGGGCCACGCTTGCGAAAATAACTTCATTTTCTGGTATCTTGGCAAAAGTCTCTCCACACCTACTTTCCTACTCTAGACTATAGAGTGCAAAAGTGAGGCCTCTACACATGTAAGAACCAGTGTTCCAGATGCGACCACACACATAGCACACTGGCTCTGTTTTACTGGGGAATTCTTTTTGTGGTTGTGAGGGCTTAAAAACATTGGCACCCCATTATCAGCATAAACTTATATTTTGGGTTTTAACTAAGTTAGCCAATGAAAAGACAAAAGGACTACTTGAAGAAATGGCTGATTCTCAGATTTAGGCAATTAAACATACAGGTTGAACCTGGGTTGTAGCTCCAGGAATCAACTGGAAGTGCTGTAGGTGGCAAAAGTTGAATGACTTGAACCCCAAATCATTTGTTTCATATTTGGTTTTTAACCCAAAGTTAATATTAAATATTGCTGAATAATCACTAACGCAAATGACTGGAAAATAAGTTAATAGACAAATCTCTGGCAATAAAGAGTTGATATATATATATATCATATATATATATATGAACAGCCATAATTAACTACTTCACATAAATGACAGGTTAAGAGTTGCTCTTATTTAATAACTTCCTACAAAGGGTAGGAAGTTCATAATGGAGAAACTTAACAAATAACTTGGCAACTAGATGAACTAGATGATCAAGGTCAAGGGACAAATGGCATTGGAAGCAAATACGTTTGTTAGGAAGTGATGAAGATGGCCTATTGCCTGATATCCTTCCTTGCAGAATGCATTGTTTGGGGCTTAGTCTCAAGGAACATGTCAGACCAGTTCTGATAGAACTGCATTCTACAAAACGTCTCAAAACTGTTCAGGTTTGTATGATAACCACAGAAAATGTGTGATTACAGCAAAGAGAAGCTTGAAGAGATGTAATGAGTCAAAGCAATAAGAAGTCTTTTATGGAATAGCAAGTACAGACAGGAACAATAGATAAAAACTAAGGAAATCCAAATAGATTTCATTAATAAGAATGTATCTAAGTTGCCTCATTAATCCTAACAAACTCACCACAGTAATATAAGAAGTGAGGATGAGAAACTGCAGGCTGTCTGTGTTCACACTGGGAGACACGTGTCTCTGCAGAACTATAGCTCTGAGATCCCAGGCCACACAGAATGCAGAACAATTAAATTCCAGTAACCAGCACTGCTTTCCTAACTTCAGGGCATTCTGCTAAGCTCCAGCCACACTGGGGAGAAGTGCAACCCTTTTAACAAGGCCTTCCAGGCATCAGTGGTTCTGTAAAAGTCTGGGACCCAGCGGTGCTTCTGACCTAAGATTTCCAGGCACCACAGCACCCCACTGTTATCTAGACTGCAGGTGTTGTTTTGGACTCCTCTTTTCTCAGAAGGGTACACCCAACTTCTCACTCCAATAGAAGAACCTGAGATCAACACCCAGATCAGAGAAGGGGGTGGGGGTGTCCTTAAAGTGCTTTTGGCTACCCCAAAGAAAGGGAGTCCTAGCAGGGAATAAAGGCATTCTTGCTATCAGGCAGGGTAGGAGGTTTTGTTACTATGGGGGTTTTGTTTGTTTTCCAGTCCAAACTAATGGTAGCAGCTGTAAAATATAAATTTCACTATAGACCTTCTATTTGTATGTGAATTCCACAGTAAAGAAACTGCCAAAATGAAATGGCTACTCCTTTAGGGAAAGGCTTTTATTGTGAAGAAGAGAGAGAACATCCAGAAATATCTGGAATAGTGGAGTAAAAAGAAAAATTAGACTGGGCATGGCCAGGGAAGCAAGGGAGAGCGAATGGCAAAGAATAGCAGGAGCGAGAATAGCAGAGACAGTAAGAGGACTAGTGAGAGCAGCAGGTTGTCAGGAGGATAAGTAGCTTGGGTGAGGGAAGTTCATGAGCTGGAGCAGGCCTGGATGTTTGGGGTAAGGAGGGATTGAAGCCTGGAGAAGTGGAAGGGGCCAATGTGCTAGTGTGAGAGCTTCGAATGCATG